AGCAAGTTCTCTGCTTCTGAGCTCTGCCATCAGCTCTTGTTCCTCTCTCTGTGCCTCTGGCAAAAACTATACTTCTTGTTCTCCAGTCGCAAACAGTGAGAATTGCTCCATACTTGTACAAGTTCCATCCATGATGTACAAGATCCTCAATCATTATGGAACATGACATTTGCTAAGGTACAAAGGTACATTAAAAGTGTTACAAAGAACTTAAAAAATAATTCAGTAAGAATCATTTTTGGTTTAATTGACCATTGGATTTAATGATGTGGAGTCATGATTTTCTGGAACATTTCAGTCAATCAAATCCTTCCTTCCTTCCTTCCTTCCTTCCTTCCTTCCTTCCTTCCTTCCTTCCTTCCTTCCTTCCTTCCTTTCTTCTGTCCTCTGTTGGGGTCATATCCCTCAGTTCTGGGGCTATTCCAAACTTAGTGTTATCATGGGCATTGGACATCAGATTCACATGCAAAGCTTTATCTAGTCCTGTGAATATTCTCTTTGGTCCATTTTCACTTTCTTTTTGTTGTTGTTGTGTTTTCTTTTTGTTGTTGTTTTTGGGTTTTGGTCACACCCAATGGTGCTCAGGGCTCACTCCTGGCTCTACACTCAGGAATCACTCCTGGTGGTATCAGGGGACTAAATGGGATACTGGGGATCAAACCTGGGTTCACAACGTGAAAGACAAGTGCCCTATCGAGCTATCTAATGGACTATTGCTCCAGCCCCCATTTTTACTTTATAAAAACTGACTTTGACCCTTCCTATGGATATCGCGTGGATATTTGTTGTATTGTTCTCATTGAAAAGGTGAGTAAAGAGAAAGTAAAGAGAAATTAGCTTATTATGATTCCAATATCTTGTTGTAACTTTCAACTGCGGCTTTCTGATGGAACTTGTTGACACTTGCATGATCAAGAAGAGAGAAAAACATTGATAGATAGTTAAGTAACAGAGACCATGAAAAGGAATGTACTTGTAATAGTTTTTCTCTGCAAAAATGTTGATTGCTGAATATATTCACAAAAATATGAATTTGAAACAAAGACAAGGGTTATTACAGACATTTTAATAATTGATTTTGTGGCAGGGCAATGAGGTGATGTAGGTTATAATTTCAATAGTTATTTTGAAATTTGATTCACCTCTCTACTTCACATTTCAACAGTAGAAAAGAGTCTATGCCAACCCTTTTTCTAGAAAAATAATATTGTTCAATTATTCTTAAAGTATTAATTTTGCTAAAAGGCTTTTTAATAATTTATGGAGAATTCAAATATTAAAAATGTGCTGGGCTGCATAGATAGCTCATATCGCTCAGTTTGTGCTTTGCAGACTGGGTCCTGGGTTTGATCCAAACACAGGGTCCCCCAAGAACACACAGCAGGGAATGATCCTGAACGTAGAGCCAGAAGTATCTCCAAACTGAAAAAAAAAGCAAAACAAAATGACCATTAAAATATCCTGGAAATTTATTATTTCAAACTATGCAATGTATATCTGTGTATCACGGTCACGACCATCCTGTTGTTCGTCGATTGCCTTGAGCAGGCCCCAGTAACGTCTCCTTTGTCCTAGCCCTGAGATTTTTTTAAAAAGTGCCATATTAAAAGCTCTTCCAGGGTTAGGAGAATGAGACCCATCATTGTTACTGGTATTTGGCATATTGGGTACACCACGGGGAGTTTGCCAGACTCTGTCATGTGGGCAGGTTACATTCGGTAGCCTGCCATTTTGTCCAAACTAAGAATGAGATAATAAGGTATCGCGCAGCCGCATTTGCAGCCGCGCACTTCCTGGAGCTGGGTTTTATAGTCTCTGGGTCTTGGCAGTTGATGGGATTACACGGCACCAGGGGGCCAGTTGGTGGGTGTGACCCCTGCCTACTGGAATTTGGAGGATCTGGGTGGAGGATGCTCAGCCCCAATTCGAGCAGGCTTGGAGATCTCAGCCCCGGGACCCACATGCCTTTGTTCCTCTGCTGGGGCGGGTAGGGAAACTCAACCCGCTCCTCGCCAAGGGGCCCTGGCAAGGACAGCCAGGTGCGGGGGCAGGAGACTCTGCGCTATTCTCTTCCAGGAGCTGGGTTTTATATCTGTGTATATCTGTCTCTTTACCTTTTTAGCATGTATTTAAACACCTATAACGAAGACATATATCAATTAGTGACTGCCACTAAGATGCTTCATTCATGTAGTTAGGGACAGAAAGACACAGCTTAGGATAATCATCTTGTTTGAACAGAGATACTAATGACAGAAACTCTAGATTCCTTAAAAAGAAACTGGATATCCTGATGAAACAAATGTTTCAAATGCTTTGTTCTATTACAACTGGAAGAAATTTTCAGACAAAACATTAAATTCGAAGTCAATTAAGAAAGCCCAAACAGTCTTACAGGCATTTCTTCTGTGTTGATGTGAAATTTGAAATGAGTGAAAGGCTTTAAGTAGTGTTGGGTCCTCAGAGTTTTGAACATATCTATCCTGTGTGAGAGTTTAATGACATTAAAAATTTTAAAGCCATCTCCAGAACAGGTTTTTCCTTAAGACGCTCCCCTTAAGGAAGAAGTTTGGAAAATAAATTTTCAGGGGAAAAGGTAAGTTTTTAGATGGAATAGTTTTAGGGGCAGAGTCAGTTGGATACTAACCGACTCTTGTTCTAACAACTCATTTCCAAGAAAGACTTGCCATTGCTTTAATACCCTGTGATGTATGTAAAGTGATATGTGTAAGTGCATGTGTACATATGTGAGTCAGTTAGTCACACCAATTTTAGGTAAGTTCTTTTCTCAGAGGGAAAAAAAGACCAAATAGTGCAGAACATTTTCAAATCCAAACTGTTAAGGCTGGAGAAATGGTACAGTGGGTAGGGTGCAGCCTTGTGTGCGGCTGACTGGGGTTCCATCCTGGCATCCCATATGGTCCCAAATGCACCACCGAGAGTAATTCAGGGATGCAACGAACGTCACAGGGACACTGGCTTCTAGCAAGCTAGTGATTATTAGTAAGGTTCAATAGTAGATTTGTGGAAATTCAGTATACGTGTCTTCATAACCCCAAACAATGAGCAATATTGATAGAATCAAACTTGAACGTAAATAAGCATGCTATTCAAAACATAGCATATTGGTTGTCTTCTGTTATTGTCAGTCCTTTGTACACATGAAAATTATACATAGCCATCAACATTAGATAAGTGTAGAACAACTTGCAGGGTTCTATATGTTCAGTTATGTCAGTGTTGTGATCTCTATTATAGACCAAAGTTCAGCATTATTATTAAAAAAGAGGAGGAAAAATATCTTTTTAAACTCCAATAAAGAACTTTTTGTTCTCTATATAGAAAGAGAGATAAAAAGCATTTTGCCAGATATCGAAAGCATTTTTACACCATAATATTGAATATTCCAAAGCCTGGGGACTCTGTACAAATAATAATTCTTGAAATAATGCAATCTGCCAGAGACTAGAAATTCTCAATACTTTGAAGTTATGTGGGTGAGGACAGTAACAGAGCCCTTCCCCAAATCAAAATATTTTTATAATCACAATAACTGTATGGTATAAAGATGGTAGAAGAGAAGCCCGAGGCTAAGAGCTCTACGGACAGAATTGATATTTAATCACATATTCACTGGACTCCATCCTCACCGTCTGTTCTTATTCCATATTTCTTCATTGTCCTCAACTAGGTAAAGGAAGACACTTTGAGCTCCACAATAAACTGAACTTGAGCTTGTAATGGCCTTTGTTAGCCTCCCCGCCCCCCCAACCCGTCCCTTCTCTCATCATCCCAGGTGGCAGTTACACAGAACTGCTTTTATGATAGTGTCATGCTAATCCGCGCACACTGTTTTTCCTGAAAATCTTTTCTCACATCACCTGCCCCCCTAATAACGGTCACACTAGCTCAAATGTCACCTTTTCTGAGGAGACTTTTCTTTCCTCTTCTCCATTACCTTCACATTCTTAGATGTCCTCCTTCCAAGCTATCATTGTTCTCCATGCAAAACATTGATCTGATTCTATATATTAAGCTGCATCATAAAGGATCTCAAATTTTCTGCTCTCTGCATTATTCTGTGAACATTTACTTGAGATGAGAGACAGAGAGAGAGGCAGACAGAGACAGAGACAGAGAAAGAGATTCCTCAGAGTGATTCCTGAGCACAGAGCCATGAGTAATCCTATAGCACCCATGAGTGTAGCACTCAAACTGAAAAACATTTTTTTTTCTCTTTTGACTGAAAATACCTTTTTTGTAGCACGATCTGAAGAAAAAACTTTTTCGAAAAAGTTCTTACACATAAATATTAATAGGGTCCTAGGCCCTTGTCATGTCATTAATCATACTGATAAAACTGAAGATTGTATTTTTCTTTCAAAGGAATATTACCCCATTTCTCTAAACATTAATTCATATTTTTACCAGACAGTTGTTTCTTAGTATTAGAGCTTTATGATGGTTTATGGGAGAAAAACCTTTATGTTAAAAGACTATTTGCTTTGTTTTGTTTTATTTCGTGTGGGGGCCATTCTTGGCAATGCTTAAGGGTTGCTCCTGGCTCTGCACTCAGGAATCACTCCTGGTGATGCTCCCGGAACCCAGGGAATGCCAGCGGCATGCAAGGCAATAGTCTTCTCCACTGTACTATCTCTCCAGCCCCTTAAGAGGACTTTTAAGATACAAAGTTCATAAAAATTTTTAAATAGTGACAGTATTTATATTGAGTTTTATTTCTTTATATACAATGACAACGCTTCACCAAGTACTCAGTAAATATACCCAGTAACTAGAACAGTTTACAAAAGTGGATAGAGTAGGAATATTGTGATGAAAAGAATTAACTCAAAATCAGCTTTCAAGGAAGCAAGGGTGTCTTCAGATAATAAAACAGCTGGACAGGGGTCAGTGGAAATCCTGGGTTTTCTTCACTAAGAAGACCTCGTGTTATTACATGTTGAATACGGGATGCCTAAATTTCTTTTGTTTTTCTCTAGGCCAAATTTACAGATGACTGCAAGTTCAGGGAACGGTTTCAGGAAAACAGCTATAATACCTATGCCTCAGCTATACACAGAACTGAGAAAACGGGCCGGGAGTGGTACGTGGCCTTGAACAAACGAGGGAAGGCGAAACGAGGCTGCAGCCCTCGGGTGAAACCCCAGCACATCTCCACCCACTTCCTGCCCAGGTTCAAGCAGTCGGAGCAGCCAGAGCTTTCTTTCACAGTCACTGTGCCCGAGAAGAAGAAGCCCCCCAGTCCTGTGAAGCCCAGGGTCCCTCTCACTGCACCTCGGAAAAGCCCCAACACAGTGAAATACAGACTCAAGTTTCGCTTTGGATAGCACCTACCTTGGCCTTGTGAGGAACCGTGTTCTCGCTCAGGAGTCTGCAGTCTTTAAAAAACTCTGAAGAACAATCTTTGGACTCAGCTTCACTATGCTCCCCTGTAATGACGTCAGGGCACTTGTTTCAGTTCGACTGAAACCAAAATATTTTCTCCTCGAAACTGAATTGGAATTCTTTGTACCAACAAAGAGAGCAACACCTTCTGTTCCGTGAGGCTTCTTTTGCTTTGTACTGAATTCACACTCGCCTTCTGTATTTTCGGAAAGTTAAACAGTGTGGACTGTGTATTTTTCTGACTTTTACAGATCAGCCCGAAAGAACACACATGACACATTTTTAAAAAAAATTTTGGTTTCCAAAGACTATTTTGATGCAGATAAATATTTTTATTAATTTTTGTGGGTTTTTTGTTTTTTTTTTTTAAAGTACCTCTGCATTGAGCATATTTTCTTACTTTTATTATTTTAATTAATATGAGAAACAACTGTTTTAATGCAGTTTATGAATTACAAATGTGTTCATAGCCTATTTGTAACATGTGGATTTCTTTGTCAGTTTCATTATCCATTGCACTTTTAATTTTTTATTATTTTTTTACCATACCTCAGATAATGTAAGCTTAGTTCTACATCTTAAAATGTTTAAATTCTCTTCAATAGCACCTAAAGGCTCAGTTTGAATTTGTGTGTGTGTGTGTGTGCGCGTGTGTGTGCGTGTGTGCGTGTATGTGTGTGTATTTAAATGCACGGCATTATCCTGGTTCATGAAATTTTATTTCTTTTGCAGACACAAGGGTTATATGGGTTAAATGCAAAAAGGAAAATGTAATAACTTTTTTGATGGAATTTAGAGTTGAAGGTAGGAATAGACTTAGAGGTACAAATTTACTGTTTGTAGCATTTTACTGGTATCTAATTCTGACTGGTCCTTACTTCTTTTATCTACTCCCTGTCCTCATTCTTGAACAGCTGGAGGAATACTCTTAATTCTCTCCATCAAGCATATACTATGAAAGCAGACTACTTAAAAATACCTCTTCTCTGATCCTCTGCTATCCTCATTGTATAGACTCACGGGGAACTAGTCCCATAGGGGAAGACTTTGAAGAACTGAAGGAAATGAATCCTGTAAAGTTATCCATATCAAGTCTCATTGTCAAAACATTTTTATTACTCAGTCAAATACCCTTTGACTTTCCTATCATAAAGTTAATTATCCCAGTGAATAGTTTTCTGCTTCATAGAAAAATTTCTGATATATATATTTTAAAAAGCTGGTGATATGAGAAACTTAATTGGGAATTTGATGATTAAAATGGTACTTAATTCTCAATGCAAATATTTCATGTTGGACATAGATCACAAAACATGGCAGAAGAGAACCTAACTTATTTGTTTCCTTGGATAATCATTTTTATCTATTTCTATCAAGTACAAGTATTTATCATAAGAAATGTGGTGATAAAAATGTACAGATACTGTTTAGAAAGGTATATGTCTCTTGCAGAAAGACATATTCAATGAAAATTTGTGATGTACTTAAGTGTGCTTCTTTGAAAGGATACTGATAAACATTTTTTTTTCTTTTTGGGTCACACCCGGCGATGCACAGGGGTTACTCCTGGATCTGCTCTCAGGAATTACTCCCGGCGATGCTCAGGGAACCATATGGGATTCTGGGAATCGAACCCGGGTTGGCCGCATGCAAGGCAAATGCCCTACCCGCTGTGCTGTCATTCCAGCCCCGTGATAAACATTTTTAAGAGAACATTTATTTTGGTGTATAAATGCAAAGTAAAAAGTAAAGTAAAAAAGTAAAGGCCCTCTCGTTGATCATCAATTTGCTTGAGCGGGCCCAGTAACGTCTCCATTGGAGACTTTGTTGTTGCTGTGTTTGGCATATCAAATACGTCACAGGGAACTTGCCAGGCTCTGGCGTGCAGGCGAGATACTCTCCGGTAGCTTGCTGGGCTCTCCGAGAGGGGCGGAGGAATTGAACTTGGGTCGGCCATGTTGGTTGCGTGCAAGGCAAACGCCCTACCGCTGTGCTATCGCTTGGAAAGTGATATCGCTTGGAAATGGCTGGAGTGATAGCACAGCGGTAGGGCATTTGCCTTGCACGCAGCCAACATGGCGGACCCGAGTTCGATTCCTCCGCCCCTCTCGGAGAGCCTGGCAAGCTCCCCGTGACGTATTATATATGCCAGACACAGTAACAACAAAGTCTCCAATGGAGATGTTACTGGGCCCACTCGAGAGCAAATCGATGATCAAAGGGAGGGCAAAGTAAAAAGCAACCAAAATTGATGTTATTTCCACTCAAACAGATGGTTTCCGGTTTAAGGAGACAAAATATAATACACATGTAACACATAAACTCCATCTATTCACTAAAAACATCATGCATATATTATGAAATAATATATTATCCATTGACCTGATTAAATATTATTTGCATTTAATGAAAGACTTGAAAAATATAACTTGGGTAACTACAAAAATTTAAGTTAATAAAGTAAAATTTTCCTGAGTTAAATGAAATGATGAGAATTTGCAAACATAGATAAGTCTAACTCTTATCCAGCTGGAATACCACCTTATATGCATGATATAAGGCTAAAATTATCCTCCAGTTTGTTTTAGTTTATTGTTAAGAATTGTGTGCTGTATATCAAATTCTTAGTACACATGAAAAACTAAAGTTGTAAAACAGCAAGAATAGAGATGTGTTTGCTAAATGGGCAAGGAAAAATTATATTAATGATGCTGAATAACAAACCAAGTTAATGCATATATTATGTGAGACTAATCTGGCTGGTAGTTCATTTTAAACTGAAAAATAACAACTTATCTTGTAGTTCTACCCTGATTTGATTAGCATGTGAAGGTTAAAGTAGGATAGTTACCAACTATCTATTATGCAAGTCAGGACTCATTAATTTCAAAATTTAAAGCCAAGCTAAGATAAAAAAAAACAATTTAAATTGCACTCAATTTTAGTTTACTGGCCATCAAGAATTATATTTAATTAATGCTCACTGGAGCATAAAGATACTTAAATTAATTAATTGAATGAACTCACATGTGGAAAATATGTGTAATATAATTTCATACCAATACATCCAACTTTCCAGAATGTTCCTTACTTAAACAAAGTTTTGGGGTTTTTAAGTATCTAGACTCATTTAATATGAGCAAAATTATTTAATTGAAATTATGATTCAGTGATTTTTTACACTAATTGTAGGGGTCCAATTTGTCCACAAGAGAGACAACAAACATCTTTAGAATGACAGTTTTAGCAATTATGTTATATTTATTTAATACAATTTATGGAACTTCTATTGAGGTAGGTAGAGGAAACACTGGTTTTTGTTTCCAAAACATATCATCACTTCCCTTAAAGAAACCAAGTTGAGAGAGTGCATATAAATTATCTAAAGTTTTTTAGCTGAGTTATAGTGTCTCAATGGTTCAATACTATGTGACTAGAAAGGATACTGACAAATAATTGTTTACAAATTCACTAATTATATTGTTTAAATGACGGTTTGTATTATAACTGAAAATTCGAAGGATACATTTACTCTCATATTTATCTTGAAATAGAAGACAAACATTTTCTTACTTTAATAGTTTCCAGTCTTGTGAAGGCGAGAGGAAATAAGTCATGGCTTACCACTATTTCAGTGATGAAATAAAGATTTTGCTCTAAGCAAAAAAGGTGAAGCATGCCATAGAATAGCATGATAGCACTGAAGTTAATTCACTTCTCTTGCATACAGCTCACACCGGTTCAGATCCTAGCGCCGAATATGGTTCCCTTGACCATCCAAGGAGCGACCCCTACGCACAGAGCCAGAAGTAAGCCCCGACCACTCCCGGGTGTGACCAAAATCAACAACAAAAAACTTGAGTTATGGCACTACGTTTACAGTGACAGATACTCATTTGTATGGCTAGCTTTGCAAATAATAACAGGATGGTAGTTAGTGCTTTGAGAAGCTAATTCCAAAATAATCTAGGTCCAGAGAGATAGTACAGCTGATAGGGTGTTTGCCTTCCACGCCGCCGACCCAGGTTTGATTCCCAGCATCACATTCGGTCCCCAGGGCACCGGCAGGAGTGATTCCTGAGTGCAGAGCCAGGAGTAACCCCTGCGCATCACTGAGTGTGGCCCAAAAAGCAAAAAATAATAATAGCAATCTAAAGTTTACCTTATAGCTGTATCTAAATGGTGATCATGTAAAATCTATTTTCAATTCCATGCTCTTTTCTGATAGTAATTGAAAGATAATTTCAGAAAAGTAAATATGCTTCAATGCCCGAGGAGACTAGGGAGAAGAATCCGGCCTTGAAGGAGTCAGTAGAGGTATTTTTAAATCTCAGAACCACATATATTATTCCAATGTATCATCAGAAAATCGAGCTAGAATGCATCCATCAAAGTATAAAATAAAATACTATGTGAAAATCAGTAACTCTTCCACATTTTTAATTTTATTAAGTCATCTTTTGTATTGACTCTGCCTTATTATCACTGACTCCTTAGTTCTCCTTTGATCCTTCTCTATGTGATCTTTAATGCTGTCGTTATCAGATGCTGCATAAATATTAGAATGTTAAGGTTTTCAGACAAAAAGACATGGTTTCTCCTCAGATGAAGTGAAAACTATATGTCTAGATGATAATAGCTACATTAAAAAAATGTCAATAAGGTATTAAACATAGATTTTCTTTTTCAGGATCTTAGATTAAAAATTAAAAAAAACACACACCTAAATGCAAGTCTGGATCAGAAGATTTACAGAACAGGTATCAATTCTGATTTAGTACTGTATTTGCAAACTGCAGATTTGAATCAATGCAGAGGGGAATGGTCAAAGCAATTTGACCTTTCATATTTTCAGGACCCATTTTTGCTAACAAATAGTTCTAAGACATTAATAAGAGATGTACTTTTTTTTTCCTCTTAAAACTCAAATCCTACTCTCCTT